CCCCCCATCTGTACTTTTATTCTCTACTAAGATTTTACAAGTCAGCTAGCAGTGACCATAGTATTTTGTGTGGGTTTTGTATAGAAAGAAAAACCATTAAGTGTTATCAAAGGTTGTTGTTCTTCCAACTGAAACCCAGTAAGATTTATCATTCTGTCACTTCCTTTTCTTGTAATAAAAACTGTTGTTTAATTGCAGTCTTATTGCTACTTCTGTGTAAGCTGTTTTGGCTGTGACGAAAATTACAACAATCCATAACATCTGTATTTCAGATTGCAGACCCCAAATTATGTCAACAGTTACTTAATTTGATGTTTCTAAGTGAGCAATTGCTCAGTGTTGGACAGCATCAGTCCTTGAAAAGCTCTTAAAATGTATCTAAACAACACAGGTTAATAAGTCTGAGTTACAGACTTTTGCAGTAGATCAGCTGATATGTCAACAGCTGAAGAGTTCAGCAAATCAATTCAGCCAAGCAAGCCAGGTTAATGCAAGGATTCTAAATACTTTGCTAGCCAGTGAAAACTGAGCCAGAACTGGGTTACAGTATGATCACGTCAGCAGCTTCTCCAGAGTCCTGAGGATTTTGTAACAAACAGCAGCATGACTGAAGTACAATTAGGGCATTTGCCTGTCCTCAGACTGGTCCAAACAGCAACAACAGTCATAATGAACATACACAGCCTCCCTCCTAGGTATGGGGGTATTCTGCCAGGCAGAGGGTTCAGACAGATATCAACTTTCCTCTGGAAATCTTATGTATATATCATAGCACTTCTATGCTAAAAAACCCAAATCAGACTAAAGCACACATTTCTAAACAAAAATCTGAATTTTCCCTGGCAGAAATGTATAGCTAAGTATGCCATCTTAACATATCTTCAGGGGCAATACTTCTCAAATATAGGGACTAATGATGCCTTCTTAATAAACATTAACAATTTTTCTAAACTAGTTAATTTCAATTAATTAATTAATTAATTACTTCTTAATAAACCTGTGTGACAGCCCATCTCTTCCTGCAACCTGCAGGCAGCTGGCGAATAGAAGCAGTTCCTGGTGCTTGTCGAGGGCTGCGGAGGAAGCACTAGGTGGCAGGACACCAGAGAGGAAGGCTAGAAGGGACTGGATTGGAGGAAGATGCACAAGCAGCCGGTGGCAGGATGTGCAAATGATGGCCAAGAGGCAGCCTGGCAGTCCTGGGAAGCAGTCAGGGCCAGCTCAGAGAGACTGTAGAGTCAGTCAAAGCACAAAACCCACCACTCCCATTGCCTGTGGGTAGCACCAGGAAAAGCTTAGCTCTCTACCAGCTGCTTGTACTAACAGCAGGCAGAGAGGGTGCACAGGGGTTGAATCTCTGTGGGTTTCCAACACTGAGGTGTTGGACTAACTTGCCTAGCTTGAATTTGAAACAAAGGTCTCTGACTCCAACTCCACCTCTGTACAAATTGCTCGACAAATAGTTTTAAGTAATAAATCTGCAAAAATAAGGATTTTGCAAAGACAGAGAGGCAACTTTCTCTGGTTATTAATTTATATGCTAGAAAATCACTTCTTGCTGCTGTTATTAAAAATCCAGCTCGACTGACAAAAGTTCATGTTTCAAATTTTTTTTGGCAACACAGGAACAAGCTATAATTTTACTTATTAAACACAAACTGTTATAATTTTGTCATCCAAAAGACTTTGCAGTAAATTAATCATCAGAATAATTACTAGCCTGCTCTGATTTAAATCAATCTAAGGAGTAACCAGAAGCTTTTAAAAGTTGCTTTTTTTTTTCTTTTTTTTTTTTTTTTTTTCCCCCAGAGCACACTTCAGATGACAGAAGAAATATTTACTAATATTTTAAAAAGCATGTTTCACGTTCTCAGAATAAAACAAACCCCTGTCACACCTTCATGAAGATTCCATGCCCTGGTAAGTAGCACACAACTTGCCTTTTCCCATGCACCTCCATGGAAAGTTTTAGTGTGGAAAATAACAAACAGGATGCCTTAAGCTCTGTCAATAACTAGAATCTGCATCAGTACCAGGTAATTCTGCTCACATGTATCTCATAAATCTTGCTGGAAGTCACAGGAGAAGGAGCAGAAGCACATGCCTGTGGAGAACTGAAAGATCCATAAAAATGCCAGCACCAGCTGAGCCACCTGCTCACCACTTCCTGCGGTGCCTAATCCAATCCCATGCCAATCCAGGCAGCTTCACAGCAGATTTTTGCCAGCTGTGTGATAGCAGTTTAACAGCAAAAAATGCCACAGTGATGTTCTGTCAGTGCACTGGTTGCCAATGACAGGAGGAAAAACATTACCACCTGGATGTCTCTGTTGCTCAAGAGAACAAGCACAAGCACCTTCTGTTTCTCCAGTCTCAAGACACTTAAATGGAAAATTATTTTTTTCTTTTCTTCTTTTCTTTTAAATTAGCCTTATTTATTATAGAATTTTGCAGGCTTACTAAATGCAATTGTATTTAGAGATAGTTATAGTCCATGTCGCAACGTACTCTAATTAAATATGTAGCTAAGCACTTTAAAACATGGAATCACAAGAAAAATTTTAATTGCAACAGAAAGATTTCTGTCTGCCTACACATTGTGTTTGTTTAATGTAGATTTTTCTTCCCATAGTAGAGAAATGCCACATCCATATTTAAAATCAGAAGTATTGACAAAATCTACTGAGTGCATAAAGCTGTTTTGACAAAACATGAGTGCCTGTCATGCTGCAGCTACAAAAATGAAACAGCTCAACAATTCACCAAAACTCTGCCTACAGACAAGGTATTCTCTAGGCTTCAGGAAACCTGATGCTTTTCCTCATGAAGGAAGAAATCCTCATCATGCTGAACTCATTGAGAAAATGCTGCTGACTTCAGCACAGCCAACTGCTCTCAGACTGACAGGGCTTTCATTATGCTTTAAAATTAAGCTTATGCACATGCATTCACAAATAGGAACCCCAACAGCAGAAAGATTTAATGCAACAGTTATAAGGGAACTGAAAAATCCAGAAAGAAGATGAAGCAGTTCAAGATTAATCTCACAAAAAACCTAATCTGAATAGAAGATCAAACGTTTAATTTTTTTTTTCCCTTAGCATGTCAAAATTTCACATTTCTTCGGCTGTCACAGAGTACTGTCAGAAATGGAGAAGGAATCTGCTGGTTGAATTACAGTGTGGTTTCTCAAGGACTGAACCAGTATTTATTTTGAAATTTCACATAAATTATTAATTACCTCCTTAAAAGTATAAGCAAGCCTTTGGCTTCATAGCATTTCTATACTCTTTCACAGTACAAAATGAAACAATTTTTGATATCTGTAATTACTTACCAAAATAAAGGAATTTTTTGTAAGTTTTGTTTGTAAATATTTTATTAAAAAACATCTTTTAATGCTATTAGTCAATACATGTGTAATAATACTTTGATAAAGTATCATGTAGTAATATGTATTTTGAATTCAGGAATGTAATGGTTTTAACTAAATCATCAGAGCTCTGTTCTGCTCCAGTCTCTTCTAAGCTGTCATTTTTTCCCAGAATTTAAACAAACTCATTCTTTGTCAAGGTACATCATCCTTAAGGCCTTACAAACGTTTTAGTAATTGAACCAAAACAAAGAGAGAGCTCGGCTTTCTTTCTGAAGACCACGTTGCTTTTGAGCTTAAAAAGGTGCCTGCAGCTTTCAAGCAGTTAGTGGCAAATCAGCAAGAAAGAAATCAGAGGAGAAGAAGGGGCACTTAAAAATCAAAACAGTAAAGTGCACAGCTATACCATCCAAAATTGTATTAATCTGATCCAAAGAACTTGCTGGACTCTGGATATTTAATACAATTTGGCTTGCATGAAACATACAATCACGATTAGACAGAAAGGATTTTCTTTTTTCTTCCTGAAGTCATCTACAGGATCTATGGAATTCAATTTTCAAGGGTAACATAGTGCAGCTCTTTGGATATCGATTGGTTTCCTAAGTCCACAAGGAGATGAAGAAGCGGGGAAGGTGTGGAGGGATGCAAGGTGTCCTCCTGCCGTCTCTGTTTTATTTAGATGCCTGTACTCTCCAGTTCCCCATCCTCCAGCCCTAATGCAGCATGTGACCTAGAAATCATAAAGAGTTTCTCTTTATTTGTATACTGTCTTTGAGTTTCCTGGGATTGCTCCCCTGTTTGTTCTCTGCTGGTAGCCTTGAGGGGGTCCATCTGCTCAACTGGTGCCTCCTCACAGTCCTGAATTTTACTGGCTGCGGTATTGGCAACTGACTCCAAGGAGGTGCCTGCCTCCTCCAAGTGGCTGTAGCCCTTATTGCTGCTGGAAGGCTCGGACTGGGAGCTCTGGGAGTCCGTCCCGGTGACGGCAGGAGGAGCTGAAGGGGGTGATCCCCCCAGATCTAGAGGTCTGGAGTCACTAGGAGATGCCTTTACCAAGAGGCTGGATTCTAAGACCCTCCTGACAGCTGGTGACCGAGGTGGCTCAGGGGAAAGGGGACGCCTGGCATCAGGCAAGCAGCTGGTGCTCTGCCGCCTGAGAACCACTTTTTGCCTCGTTGTCCCACAGCTTCCCTTGATGTGGCCGCTGCTGAGGTCAGTTAGGCTCAGTTCAAACTCCCCCCGTGGGATCTCCTGGGCTCCCCGTTCACCAGGTGGCCTCTGCCAGCCTCCGCCTCCACTGCTTGGCCCCAAGGGCAGGAGGGTGAAGGTGCTCAGTGAAGAGCCGACGATGGAGCTGGCCGTGCTGCACCTCTCGCAGCTCCCCGGTGGGCTGCAGGGTGGGCTGGTGACAGGGTGGCCAGCAAGGGCAGCACGCTCCTGGCAGATGCTGTACACAGCCTCAGCCAGGCTGGGCGGCTGTGGTGGGGCGCAGAAAGAGGAGCGCTGCGGTGAGGACACCAGATCCGGTGGGGAAAGGGAGACACCCAGTCCTGGTGGCCAGGAGCTCTTGGCCAGCATGGCTGCAGCACCCAGGCCTTCCCCACCAGGCTTTAGCTCCAGGCCCCGGGATTGCACGTAGTTGACAAAGCCATTGAGAGGGGCTGAGGCCGGGGTGCCTCCATCCTTGGCCCGCAGGCTGTGGGCGTCAATGACGGTGGAGTAGAGGTCACGCAGGTTGATGATCTTGGTCTTCTTGTCACGGTTTTCATGCAGCACCGCATTGGCGCAGATGAAGAGGAAGATGCCGATACCCATGATCAGAGGGCCCAGCACCTTCAGCTTGTCTGAATGCAAGTAGCTCGAGAAAAGACGGAAAAGGAAACCAGCTGAGGCCTGGGGGGATGAGGAAGCAGGGGCGGACCCACCGGTGGCAGCAGTGGCGGAGGCATTGGCTCCAGGGGACGACTCCAGGTGGATCCTTGCTTGCACCCTTCCCTGGCTCTGGGAGCGGTTCGTGTGGGTGCCACCCTGTGGTGCTGGGTGCCGGCCCTTGCCAAAGCTGCTTTCTCTGTACACCTGGCTGGGCTTTGGCCAGTAGCCCACCACAGCCAAGGCGATGCCCACCAGCAGTACCAGGATGCCACAGAGAGCAATGAACCCTGAGAGGGAGCACAGCTTGAGCTTGCCTTTCACCACCACCACGTCATTCTTGCGCTTCTTTTTGGCCTTGCGTTTGCGTTTGGGGAGTTGGCTCTGGGGTTTCAAGGGGTCCTGTTTCCTGGCCGAGATCCTCAGGAGGCCTCCAGTGGCAATCATGGCTGGCTACCAGCACACTGCCCCCCACGGCCACTCCAGCTCCTGCAGTGAAGGGGAGAAGAGAAGGAGATGAGAACCAAGGACAGACCTGCAGCACAAGAGATGTCTCTGCTTTCTCTTCCTCGTTCAAAGTCCTGGTAATTAAAACCCTGAACAAGTGGGACGGAAGGTGACACCAACAGGCAGACCTCCCTTGCCCAAACAGCTCTTGTGTGTGAGCAAGAAACAGGCAGACCAACAGCATCAAAGCAGTCACGTGTCCCACTACGCTGTTGCCAAACAACTAATTAATTACTTTATACTCCAGGTAAATGACAGACCTAGTAGTACCCACTAGAGTAAACAAACAAAAAAAAGATCTTGCTCATTTCAGAAGGAGTTTGCAAAGCACCAGGGCTCAGAGAATACCAAGCCCCACTCCTTGATATGTTCTGGGGTTAGAGTGCACAGCGACTGGTTAGTGATGTCATGAAGGATTTGAGGGGATGAGAGGAATAAAAGCAGGGAGCCAGTATATTTGATCTATAGATACCATTTGTTTCATTACACTACTTACAAATTACTGGAGGGAGGGTTAAAGGTATTACTTGTCTTGCTTAAATGAGTGGAAAAGGAATTGCTGTGAAATGCACAAAGGAAACATTTAAACACTGCAAAGTGGTGCCTTGTGAAAGTTTTTTCCTAGCCATTTGCACTTGATCTGCAATATGAGAAATTCATCTCTTGCCTGCGGTCCAGAGGCATCCCTAGTTTGGGAACATGTGTGATGTTCCAGGTAACTGTTATGTAACACTGACAAATACAACCCCCCTCCCCCCTGCCCTCAGAAAGGGGAGATGGCTGGCAGGTAAGAGATGGCAGGTCAAATCCTATTAAAGGAGAAGTGAAACCCCATGAGTCACCCGGGGAAACCCTAACGAGTGCTTGCAGAGAAATTGGCAGAGGACTAAACACTGAGCATTTGTGGCTTTTGTCTTGCTGGACCATCAGAAGACATCTCCCTGTTCCCGTGATCTGAGCTAAACAACACAGCGTGTAGGAGCATTTCTACACTGTGAAATTCTTTTTGGAACCTATTTCTTCATGCTATTGAGAAGCAGGATCCCCTCCCCCTTTCCTCTTTCTTAGCATCCTATTATTTTTTCTTTGATGGGGCAAAAGATGACATCACTGAATATAATACGACTCACAAAGTTCAATTAATTGCACTGAAAGGCGATTAAGTAAGCATCTAAAAAAAAACCTGCTTGTTCCTCTTTGACTGTTCAGCCTTTAAATCTCATCTCTTTTCCGTTCTAATGCCAGAATTGCCACATATGCAGTAATATTGTGTCCCATTTACTCTGTTTGTATTTTTCCCAGGAAAAAAAAGATGGGTGTTGTCAGCAAGGACGTTGTTAAATTACTCTCCGAGGTACAGCACGCTCAAAACAAAGGGCAGAGATTTCTCTTTCCTATCCCTGAACTATTTATTAAAAATAGAAAAAAAAGAAAAAAAGAAAAAAAAAAAGCGCATTTTGTTGATGCAGAAGTGCAATTATCGGGGCATGCTTCGCTGTAATTGCCGATTCTTTGATCGCATTTCCTGCTGCCCCACTAGCCAGCTGCCCGTCTCCTCTCCACGGCGATAACAAATGGCCATCAGCTCCGAGGAACGCTCCCGGTCCGGCATCGCCCGGCACTTAGTTTCGGCGATGGCGAGAGCAGCGCTGGCAGGCGAAGGAGGGCACGGCCGGGCCGCCGGCCACCGCCAGCGGCCGCAGTGCCACGGAACCTCCGGCCGGGAGCCGCGGGGCTGGAGCCACCTCCCTCCCTCCCGCACGGACGGACTGCGACCCCCGGTCCAGCCCCGGCAGCCGGTCCCGCAAGCACCGCGACCAGCCCGGCGGAGCCCAAACGCCT